GGCACCTCTTAGTCTTCAGTTTTAGCAGGACTGGCTGAATGGTTCTCCTTCTAACACCAAGTAAATGAATCCTGTGGGAACACACCTATGAAAAGGACATGGACGGGAAGCCTGTACCGTCATTATGTGATTCAACGTTTGAAAACGCTGTCCTGATGGTCTAGCCAGTTTGGACAGACCTCACCAAACACCAGCATCCCCCTTCCCAAGTTTCCCTGGCTTTGGACATGCTTGTGATGCTGGTTGCGCAGTTGTTTCTTCTTCCACTCATTCATTATCACGCTCGTGCCCTCAATTCTGCCACAGGCTACCTCTTTTCCTCTTTGTCTCACTCTAGAAAAGAGGTACCTGATTCTGCTCTATTTTACGACGTTGTAAATCAGAAATGAAGCATCCCAGAGACATCCTCCACTCCCCTGTGCTGCTGAGAGACCAATCTGTAGAGTGGCGATATTTCCTGGCTTAGTTCATGCCTTCTCTGCAGACACTACCAGGCAGGAAGCTAATGATGGCTTTTGCCTGTTTCTGTATTTGTAACAGGAATGGGGTTGAGATTCTGACTTGTTATTTCAAGCAACGCATGCTAATGACCGGCCATTCAATGGTACTAACAATACACTGATCCTACATAGGACCCCCAAGAATGGTGTGTTAATCCAGACTGAGTAATTTAGGGCCACCTTAGCTCTAGAGAGGTCCTGAGCATGGCAGGTGCCTACATACTGAAGACATTACATTACACATGCATGAAATCCAGACATGCACCTGGAGCGGCAGATCTCACTGGCCATGCACAACGGGCTGGTGAGCTGTGGGGCTGGAGACCACCCCCAGGGCTCTGCTCCTTTTCAGCATTACCCTGATCTCTAGATTGGCTTCAGACCTGAAGCATGAATTTTACTTTCAGAAGTGTTATCATTAATTGTGATGACTCTAGATATTCTTAATAACCACATGGCTTTACAATCCTTTATTAAACTTAGTCAAGTTCTTCGTCCTGCTAACGTCCTGCAACAAGGAGCTCCACAGCCTAATGACATATCACATGGAAATGCATGTCCTAATATCCATTATAAATTGTCTTCCCTTCCAATTTCCTTGAAGGTCTTCATGTTCTCATATTAATGAGTTGGTGTCCCTAAAGTCTGGAGGGGACTTTAGTGGGAAGAACAGTCTATTTTCAAACATTTCTATTGAATACCGAGCTAAATCCAAGCTAGCAGCCTGCAGGCAAAAGAGTCCACAGTCTGTTCTCTCTGATCCTCCTTAGCCAACCAATCCTATCTACACTGACTTTTCAAATCTCCATCTTTACAGTATTTTTCCCCAGAACAGAGAAATAGAGAAATGCAGACAGAAACTGACAGGTAAGAAAAGATGTACGCTCTAACTGACAATCTAACAAGCAATCCTTGAGACACACTGATTTCCAAATTATCTCAGTTTCATTTAAGAATGCTTTTCTATTTATTTTCAGCGCAGCTAGCACCAATTCTGAGCTCCTAAACCCCGCCGTACTGCTAACTCCTTGTGACACGGACAGTTTATCTGCTGATGTGAAGGGACTTTTCACCCATGTCTTTTCCTGCTACTCTCTACAACTTGCTTTCAACTTGGATCCATACCAAGCACTGTGAAACATTTGTGAGAGCGGAGCTCATCTTAGTTTCTTTCTCTTGCAGAACATTGTCAGAGATCCAGGAAAGCAGACGAAATTCTGCAAACATTGAGCATTAACCAAAACAGAAGAAAATACTCCAGCATCTTTCTTTCTCACTTTCTCCCCAGAGCTTTGCCGTTCAATCCAGGGTCTCAGAATTAGCTGACACAATGGTGCAGGACGCTCACTCAGTGAAACCTTTGAAAATGCCGAGCAAGCCCCCAAAAGGCAATGCCATTACCAAGCTCAGAGTTCAGCCCATCAGCTTTCATGATGTTAAGCCCTCATTTTCAATAAAAGCAGTTGCCTCTTTCAACTGCCAGACCTGAGCAGAGCTTGCTCTTCATGCCCTCAAAACGGGAACGCCGATGCTGTGATCACCTGGCCATCGGATCCATTCTTTCTCATCTGCATCACTGGTTTCTCTTGAGTAACATGCAAGGATCAGAATAATGAGCTTTACTCCTTCCTACGGTCCTCAGCACATTTTTAAATGAAAGAATCAGCTTACCCATAAGAGCCACAAACAAACATGAGGAGCTTAAGATATAAGCAATTCGGAAGCCTGAAGTATCATGTGTGTTGGGCAATCATAAATTTAAAGTGAAAATCCCTAACGATTTTGTTTTGCATTAGATATTAAATAAAACCTACTTGCGAAGGCAGATTAGTAAAGAAACCTTTTTGACAGTTGTATTTTTTTTTTTAAATCAGAACAGGATTAAAACATCTTTTGGAGACTCGCTGTCATTTTATCTGGGTAAATAAGCTTAGAGAGCCTAACAGTCAATTTATAATGAAGGCTTTTGTTCTTGGTACTGTGATGCAGCCCTGCAAATTTGCCCACAGCTGCAGCAGTTTCAGATGTTTTTGACAGGTAAATAAAACACTGTTTATATCTGTCATTGTTATTAATCTGCACAGTAAAGAACTAGCAATTATATTTTGTTTCCAAGTGGATAAATTTTCATGATGATCTTGGCAGGGGTGGTATAAAATAATGTGCATCTATGACTTTTATAGTTTTGAGGGGCCGAAACATGAAGGGTCCTTGCTCAGCTGTTGGAAAACAAATGGGAAATAAAGGCTAAACCAGTAATAACCACCATAATAAAAAAGAACAAGGAATTTGGGATTTAGCCTTGTTGGAGTTTTATTGACATAAGGGCCAAATAAACCAAACTGCTGGTATCGACATCAGCTACACTGATGCAGCTCTCAGTTATTCTGAACTGTACTTCTAGGAAGCTGTGTCAGGATCTAGCCATGCTTTAAAACCCCACGATTTGGGCCTCCATAATGACTTGTGCTTCCCAGCTGCTGGAGGGCAAAGGGTTTCAGACACTCCTCAAGCCATGCTGGTGAAGAAAAAATCATTTGCGGAATAAGGTACTGCTCAAGGACGAGTGGCAGAATCCAGCTGTAAGTGTCTTATTATATTGGTCAGAAACTGTGAGAAGCAAAAAAGAGAAATGCTGGTGAAACTCTATTAGATGCCAGTCACGTCTGCTCAGCTTCTCACTCAGGTAGGCTGGCAGATGGTCAGCAAATAGTCTCACTTTTACAATGCAACCTACACAGGTTTTCAGTGTGAAAATTAGCATCCAATTATTTTCGAGCATTAATGTTCTCCAAGGAAGCGAATTACCTCTATTTTAATTCTGCTTAGGCTCTATTTGCTCAGACACGTAAGCCAATCTTGCAGGCACTACGTCTCGTGTACACAGGCAGAATGGCAAGCCAGGGAAGAGTACTAGAAATGTGGAATAATGCAAATTCCCAGGGAGCGAGTTGCACGGCTTCCAACTTTTAGAAGAGATGAGGAGGAGACAGTCAAGTGAGGAAGGCATACAGCATCTCGAAAAAAGAATTCTTTCCCCCACCCCCATCTAAAAGCTTATGGTGAAAATTGTGTCTCAGCTATCAGCCACCTGCATAAACCATTAGAGAAGGCTACAGTCCATTGAGGACCGAGCTCTGATCTATGGGACCCTTGGTATGACACATGCAGCAGAGCTGTGGATAGCCGGATGAGTTGGTGGCAGGCCCTGCTTCTCCCAAAGAAGAACAGGAGCCTATTCCCCACCTCCCTGCCCCCATCACTACCATCCTCGGACCTACACAAGGGAAGGCACGATCACTGCATTACAGACGTGGGCATTATACTTGGGACAGGCAGGACGTGTGCCAGAGCGTGGTCACTCTCAGATGAGTGCTGGCTTTCCTTAGCAGAGCACGCAGGTCCATGAAGGGGAAAGAAGACGTGGAGCAAAACCTGTTTTGCTCAGGATTTCAACGTATCACCTTACGTGCCAGGATCTGTGCCTAAAATGGAAATGGGTATCAGCCACGTGGAACCTCACAACCTTTTCTTGTGCAATGATCCCTTATTATCACAGGTAATGGGACTATCCTGGGGAATAAAGGTTATCTGCATATCTGGGCTTTATCCCACAAGCAGAGGTCTGCAGCCTTTCTTGCCGCCTGGAGCTGTGTCACATTAGGTACAAATGTTGCTGTGTATATTACTGTAAGGAAGTTGCCAGCCTGAAAATACGTGAACTGCTTTTAATTGTCATTAAATAGGGAGAATAATGCCCCAGGGTGGCACCTTATGTTCTAGTGAGGTTGCATTTGTTTCATTCTCCTGTGTGGTGGAGGGAAACTTCACTGGCCCAACCTCAGTCTGTACAAACGAGCATCTCAAGGCTGCAGCTTCAGCAGGTACTATTGTAACCAGCAGTTTTCTTCCTCCAGCTAGTGCAACTGGGAGCATGGCAGCAACGGCAAACCTGCAGAGCTCCTACTAGCCGTCCCCTGGGAACTACCGATGAGGTGGGGCTGCCTCCTGCCACGTGTTTATACAGACTGAAGTTGTATTTTTAAAAGCAAACAGCAGATTAAACACGCTCTTCGCATCACTTCTGGGATCATCACAACTGGATACCCACGAGGTGACAAAAAGCCCCCCACGCCGAGATGTGCTCCACTCCACAAAGGAGTCCATGAGTCCCTGCCATGCCACAGCTGCACGGCTCTGCGGCTGGGCATCGGTGCCTGGGGCAAGGCTGCTGGGCAGCAGAGAGGGACGGAGCAGGCCTCCACCCCACATTTCCCTGGGAAACACCGCCAAGGTGCAAAATCCTGGAGCTCAGGGCCTGGGCAGAGGACAGAGACCCTCTGGGTTTGGGGTCCTGTTCCAGGCAGCAGGGAGACCCCTGCAAGCAGCAGGCCCCAGTTCCTGCAGCCTGCAGCACCACTGCCATCAAGCGAGCCGGGCTCCCGCCGCGGCCCGTCGTCGTCCCCCCGCCCCAGCGCCCACCGCCCTCCGCGGGCTCACCTGCTCGGGCCCCTGGAAGCAGATCCTGCAGAGCGGCGTGCGGATGCCGCTGTCGACGCTGCTGCCCAGCGAGTAGCGGTCCTCGGCCTTGCCCTTGCCGAAGTCATCCGAGGAGGTGCTGCTGGGCAGGGAGGCGGGCGGCTCCCCGGCGGGGCTGCCCCACTCCT